TATTATTATTTAATTGACTGTTTATTTTATGATTATTATTAAAATTAATATAATTTAATTGTAAATTGCTATTATTAAGAATTATTAATTCATCCTGTCTAAAAATAGTAAAGAGATGATTGTTTCTAAATATTTTGAAAATTAAGGTGCTTACTGAGAATTAAATATTGTTTTTGACAAATTATGTAACATTCACTCATTTTATTTCTGTAAAGTTAACAAGAGGCTAAAAGCAAGAGAAAATATTTTTATGATTATTTAATAAGGTTTACTCAAATGAAGAAATTATGTTTAAGTTATAAATTCTTCTTTTCAAACGATGGAACAAAAGATTTGGAATATTGAATTTTTGGAAAGATTCTTATTTAGATGAAAATTTAAATAAATTGTAATAAAAAATATAGAAGCAAATTTTTATCTACTAGAGAGAAGTTCATATGATCGTATGGACCTTGATTATTCCATGAGAATATTTTAAATTGAAAGCAAATTCAACATTCAGATGGAAGGGATAGTATTAGAACATAAAGATTGGTCTGTGGATAGCTATTTGGAAGTGGGACGTTTAATAGAAGTTGGAGATTAGTAATGTAAGAAGGAATGAAATAAATGGAAATGATTTTAGCATAGAGGTTTGGAAGATATATTTAAAAATAATGAAACATAAGGAATATTATTTGCCAGGAGAGGTATATGACAAGCAAGGCTAGAAAATTGGTCAATGGATTGAGTCAAGTGAGTAATTCTTAAAGTAAACTATTATAAAAAGAGTAAAATTATTGTTAGTAGGTAAATTATAAATCAAGGGAAATATTTATAAAGCAAAAGATAAGTATAAGAATATTTATAGAATAAGATTAAGCATATTCATAAATCATTGTGGAAATAAATAAAAAGGGAATTAACTTATGAATTATATGTAATTACACAATAACAAAAATACTAATTGTGGTTATGAGTTAAACGATCACTAAGGTAAAAGAATTGAAAATGAGTAGAATTAAGCTGTATTTTAAGAACTACTCAAATTTTAGAAAATATAAATCAACAAAAATGATGAATATTAAATGTGAATAATTGTGGGATTTGAGATATTAATCATTAGAAACCTGTCAATATGGCAGTTAATTTGATGTAGATCATTAAATATGTTATAATGGTTGGTAATTTTTACAATTTTAATTGATGTATTATTAATTAGGCTTTATGATTGTTAATAACAGAGATTATAAAAACTGAAAAAAATTAGGGTAGTGAGATGAAACTATATTAAATGAATCAAATTAAATTGTTAAAATGTAATGATGAGCCTCAATTATTTAGTGATCAAAAAATGTACGATCGATGGAATTAGTTATAATTAGTATTCTTGTATTTATAATTTGATATCATTCCACTTCATAGTATTCAAATTTTCTTATTTCCAAAAAAAATTAGTTTATGTTTTGATTTTTATAATCATTGAGAATTTTGCTTAGAATGTGTTAAGGTGCATTTGAGATAAAAATATTTTCTTTTTGACTTTGTTAAAAGTATTCCGATCTTTTGAACAAATTCCTCATCGACATAGCAGTGTCAATTCCTTTTTTTAAATATGAGCAGATAGAGCATTATAAATTTAGCTATGCTTAATATTTGCTTTTGTTAAATTGCATTTAGGAAAAAATGATTAGGTCTTTCTAGCCTTAATAGCTTCCTCATTAAACTAAATCATCAATCCTTTATTTTGCATCAAATAAAACTTCTATATAATAACCTATTTATAAATAAAAATAACTTATGTAATAAAGAATTTAAATAGATAAATCATAAAGGGATAATATAATTGAGCCTTGAGCATTGAGCCTTGAAAATGTTAAAGAATAACATCAAGCCAAATTATTATTAATAAATATTTTCTAAATTATATAATTTATTATTATTAGATTATGAAACGTCATAAATGCTCATAGTATAGAATTAGTTTATAATATATTTTATTGATTTCTTAGAAGAAAAAAGTTTAAGATAATACCTTTATCATGAAATAGAAGCTTGCAAAATAATATTATTTAATTCAATAATCAGACTTTTATTAAAAAATTTCTAAAAACGTAATGCTGTAATTTTACCTCCTACCCTCTAGTTCCATTCACTATTTGAATCAAGCTAAATAGCTTAAACCAAATAAGATATAGCCTCTTCATCCCTTGATAACTTCAGTAAGCATTATCCTATATAATAATATTAGAAATACCTATGTTGTGTAAAAATGCTTCATCATTTTGTTTTAAAGCTTAGTTGAAAACTTGGGTTGTTTCATTAAATTAACCCAAAGATGTTAATGAACTACCTAAATATGTTAAAAAAAAATGCTTTTAAAATGTATCAAATTTGGATTAATTGACAAAGCTTTATCTACACATTTAAAAGCATCATTATAATTTCCAAGTAATCCTAAACTCTAAGCTAATACATTTATCACTCTTAGTATACCTTTTATAACCAGTGAATCAATATGGTTCTCATTTATATATAAAGCTTTATTGGCCCATTTAATTGCCTCTTTATGATTCGAAAGATGCATTAAACTCTTAGCTAAATTATCTATGGTTTTTATACCCTTAATACAAATTGATTCAATGTGCTTTGGGTTTAACGATAAAATTTTATCAGCAGCATTGATTGCCTCTTTGTCTCTTCGAAGCCGTAATAAGCTTAGAGCTAATTCGTATATATTTATTTTAAACCTTTTGTAAATAATGGTTCAATATATTTTGAATCAATATGAAGAGCTTAATCAGCCCATTCAATTGCTTCTGAATATTTATTTATCATTCTTAAAATGCATGCTGATCCATATAAATATGATTTCTATACCTTTTGTACTTAATGAATAAATATGCGATGAATTTAAACTCAAGGCTTTCTCAACCTGTTAGAGTGCTTCTTAGTATTTTTGAACCATCATTAAGCATTTAGCTTTTATATCAAAAAACTTTTATACATTTTATGTACAATGATTTCACATGATTTGGATTTATCATCAAAGCTTTCTCGACATAACTTAGCGCAAAATCATAATAGCTAATCATCATTAAACATTATGCTAATGAATTCCAAATTAACATTTTGTACCTTTTGAACTTAATGATTCGATGTGCTTTGAATTAATAGATATCACTTAATCAGACCAATAGATTGCTTCTTTGTACTTTTCAAGCATTCTTAAACTGCGAGCTTATGAATTTAAGGAATGTTATTTACATTTTGTAGATAGCGATTCCACATGCTCGGCATATATAGACAATGCTTTTTCTGCATATGTGATTGAATTATTGTAATCGCCAAGTATTCCTAAATAATAAGCTAAAGAAATTATCAATTATTTTTGTACCTTTTAAACATAAGGATTCAACATGTTTTGAATTGATAGATAACGCGTTATCAAGATACTTAATTGACTTATTGTATTCTTCAAGAAATCCTAAAACTTTAGCTAAAATATTTAATCTAAGATTTTGAACCTTTTATATAGAGTGATTCAACATGCCCCGAATAATTTGATAAAGCTTTATCGGCTTATGTTACTGAATCTTTGTAATTTCCAAGCATTGCTAAACAATACGCTAATGTAATTGTATTTAATTTGAATACCCTTAGCACATAATGCTTCAACATTTTTATGATCAATAGATAACACTTAATCAGCTTATTTTATTGCATTTTCGTGATCTCCAATTTAGCTTAAAAACAGCGCTAATGTATGTGATGTTGGTTATAATACCTTTTATAAGAAATGATTACTAGTAATTCTAATTAATAAATAATTTGTTATCTAACAATTTTATTATTGCATCATAGTTAACATTTGCATAATCTGAATTAATTATTTGATGATCTTTTTAATTGAATATTTAGATATCTCCTTATTCCTATTTAATTATCTCGCGTTCATTATTTAAATCTTATAGTTTGAGTACTTAAATTGTTTCCTACAATTAGATGATCATATTCTTTGAACATACTTTGACCTTCTCCAGAATATCATTTTGAATTTCATCAAATTATGCTATTTATTCCAATACCTCATTCATTTGCTTTTAATCTAATTGCTTCAGTCTCTCTATAGATATTTAATATTTTGTCTTCAATCCTTAAAATAATTTAGCAGATAATTCATCTATCTCCCTAATCATCAAACCCAGTTCATTTATTAACTTATCACAACCCTGTCTAATTTTAAAGAAGTGCTTCTCTAAGCAATCTATACATTATAGATCGTTTAGATGAGAAGAGTGATATCCTTTTTATTTACATTAGATGCAGTAAATCCTATTATCTTTACAATCTTTATTTAAGCAAAATAATTAAGCCAATTGATGTCCTTCGATGGGGCATATGATTTAATGATTTTGCATCAAAAAATTCATTAATGTAATTTGTAAATTAAATTGAATTTTATGCATTTAGTGTACCTAATTTATAATTTATAGAGTGGTATCATCTGGAGAAAATTCAAAAGGATTCTATAAGTTTATAATATTAATTTCAAGCTAAAATTGCCGTGATTTACTCTTTGAATAAAGACTAATGGAATTATGAAATACCTTATTTAATTATAAATTCTATAAACTACATAAATTCTATAAAATAACGAATGTTTTAGATGTTGAGTTATTTGAAAAACGCATCAGAAATTTTTTGTATGTTCTGACTATTCTATTAAAAATAGCAAGCAAACTCAACCAATAATCATCTGTTATATTAATTTAATTTACATGCCGAAAATATAGAAAAATTAAACTTTTTCAAAATAACTATCATTTTTTACTATTAGTTTTTAAAGAACAATTTCTTGAATTGTTTTTTTTGTCAAAATAGATTAATTTTGCTTTACTCATTTGGGTATGAGCGAAAGAATAATTAAAAGATATTCTAAAGGATGTATAGTTTATGCTAAAACAATAAAGGTTTAATAGTAAACATAAGAAACTTTAAATAAGTTGAAAATCATTCTCATACTGTCTATTATTTCTCTGTTCTAATAAGTTTGGATTAAATACATTCACAATAAACTAATTTAAATATAAAATTGATAGTAGAATCATTTGCTTTATTTGAATTAGTACATAAAAATTCCAAATCCTAAAGATTTTCATTTAAGATCACTAATAAGATTGTTCTTAAGTAAATTTGGATTACCCTGTCATTTAGGCTATTTTTAAATTGTTATAAATATATCTATGTATAAAACTCAAAATTAGTTTTATTTGTGTATATAGATAGATTAAGGTCTATTTTAAACCTAAAGCCTCATGTTAGATCTTTGAAAAAAATAAATTTACAATTAATTATTAACTGTTATTATAGATATTGAATTTGTACTCAATAAGAACAATTACTAATTTAGATATATTTATTTTTTTTTGAAAGAGTTACAAATTTCATAGCAGTGGATATTAGCAAACTTAACTAAGAAAAACATAAAAATGAAGTAATTGCAATTTGACAGACAATATCATTTAAAAAAGATTAATAAGTTGATTATCAGCAATTTTATGCATTTTCACATAGAATAAGAATTAGATTTTCTGAAACTATTGAAAGAATTAAACTAAATGCTTATGAAATCATAGAATAAATTGACAATATCAATTGATTAATATAATTCTAAAGATTAATTGAGTTGTTCTTATAAGAAATTTGGTTTCAAAATATATAAATGCATCAATGATTCAATTAGAGTATATATAAAAATATTTATGTATGAATGCAATTTGTCTCATATAATTATTTTCTATTATCTTTTCCTAATCATCATCATCATACTTGATAATTATAGGAATATCATAAAGAAAGAATTAATTATATTAACTTTGTTATACATCTTTGTCCCGATTTTATGGATATAGCCATTAAATTTATGAAAAAAATATTAAACTAAATGAATTTATTTATTTCAATAATTTAAATATTTTTGCTAAGATTTAGTAGATCACTAATTTTTATGTATATGGTCTCTATATTTTTTTGCTTAAAATATCATCCTATCTGAAAAAATAGTGTATTTGGACAATATGAGGTGTATTTCCTTTAACTGTTAAACTAGATGGTTTTAATTAGTTTTACATACAAAGTCGAATTCATATGATTAAATTTCGATCCTCATCATATCAGTTGATGATATGTTCTTGACAAAATACACTATATTTGAAAATGTTAGAGTTTGGATTGCAAACAAAGGAGACATGCTTTTCATATATTAACAGTTNTTCAAAATAACTATCATTTTTTACTATTAGTTTTTAAAGAACAATTTCTTGAATTGTTTTTTTTGTCAAAATAGATTAATTTTGCTTTACTCATTTGGGTATGAGCGAAAGAATAATTAAAAGATATTCTAAAGGATGTATAGTTTATGCTAAAACAATAAAGGTTTAATAGTAAACATAAGAAACTTTAAATAAGTTGAAAATCATTCTCATACTGTCTATTATTTCTCTGTTCTAATAAGTTTGGATTAAATACATTCACAATAAACTAATTTAAATATAAAATTGATAGTAGAATCATTTGCTTTATTTGAATTAGTACATAAAAATTCCAAATCCTAAAGATTTTCATTTAAGATCACTAATAAGATTGTTCTTAAGTAAATTTGGATTACCCTGTCATTTAGGCTATTTTTAAATTGTTATAAATATATCTATGTATAAAACTCAAAATTAGTTTTATTTGTGTATATAGATAGATTAAGGTCTATTTTAAACCTAAAGCCTCATGTTAGATCTTTGAAAAAAATAAATTTACAATTAATTATTAACTGTTATTATAGATATTGAATTTGTACTCAATAAGAACAATTACTAATTTAGATATATTTATTTTTTTTTGAAAGAGTTACAAATTTCATAGCAGTGGATATTAGCAAACTTAACTAAGAAAAACATAAAAATGAAGTAATTGCAATTTGACAGACAATATCATTTAAAAAAGATTAATAAGTTGATTATCAGCAATTTTATGCATTTTCACATAGAATAAGAATTAGATTTTCTGAAACTATTGAAAGAATTAAACTAAATGCTTATGAAATCATAGAATAAATTGACAATATCAATTGATTAATATAATTCTAAAGATTAATTGAGTTGTTCTTATAAGAAATTTGGTTTCAAAATATATAAATGCATCAATGATTCAATTAGAGTATATATAAAAATATTTATGTATGAATGCAATTTGTCTCATATAATTATTTTCTATTATCTTTTCCTAATCATCATCATCATACTTGATAATTATAGGAATATCATAAAGAAAGAATTAATTATATTAACTTTGTTATACATCTTTGTCCCGATTTTATGGATATAGCCATTAAATTTATGAAAAAAATATTAAACTAAATGAATTTATTTATTTCAATAATTTAAATATTTTTGCTAAGATTTAGTAGATCACTAATTTTTATGTATATGGTCTCTATATTTTTTTGCTTAAAATATCATCCTATCTGAAAAAATAGTGTATTTGGACAATATGAGGTGTATTTCCTTTAACTGTTAAACTAGATGGTTTTAATTAGTTTTACATACAAAGTCGAATTCATATGATTAAATTTCGATCCTCATCATATCAGTTGATGATATGTTCTTGACAAAATACACTATATTTGAAAATGTTAGAGTTTGGATTGCAAACAAAGGAGACATGCTTTTCATATATTAACAGTTGTATCTGCAGAAATGCATCTTTTAGAAATTTGTATATTTACTTTGACATTCTGAGAGTTTTTGATAATATCATCATAATCTTCACACGCAAAAACTAAGTAAATCCAGGAGCCAGAGTCATTTCATCTGGCATACTTCTTCTCAAATGGCAATTCAGTTTTATCCAAATTGTTTGCTAAGAGGTGAGAGCACTATCAGTGTATTATTAAATTTTGTACAATTTAACCTATTAGTAATTCAGAAGCTTGGAAATATAAACTCTTCATGGCAACAGTTCATTTGCAACCTACTTACATAACGTACTGTATTGATTACATTTTAATAGTTTAGTTGTATAATTTTGAATGCCAGTCTTTTTGAATGCTGAAACTATATATGTATTGCATGATCAATCTTGGGCTTTGAATTACGAGCCTTTACTTTGGTCCAGCCAATAAAGTAGAAGAGTTACATTTTCAACTTACCATACAGTTAGAAGTAGAAGTAGAAAGAGGGACAATTACAGCTCAAAATTCCTAATCAGCAGAAGTATAGAGACATCCAAATAAGCAGCCTATGATTATTCAACTTAAAATGAAATAGACTCAATATGTAAGATATTATTTAAGACTTGTAAAATAGTTCCTCAAATATTTGAAATATAGATATTAGGAGCAACTTCTATAAAAGAACTATGCTGATTATGCACTGCTTCTTCTTCTGCATCTGTTGAAAATATTGTGATTTTTGGTCGTACTTGGAGAATAATCTAGTTAGTTTGATCATGTAAAAGAGCAACTTGTGTATTGCTCTACTTGCTCAAAAATAGCAATATTTCTTTTTTCGATTAAAATGCTAATATCAGCCACATATCCTTATTTTTTAACTCAGTGGGCGTTTTTAAAATAACTATTAAGTCAACCATAGGACTTTCAGCATAATGCTCTACTTATTCCATTAAGTACTTAACGCTTATGCGATTGCACTTCGTCTATTTCAACTTATCTCATCGATGCATAAAAATGATGAATTATGTAAACATGTATGTAACATGGTAGATGGCATCGGTTGAAGAACTCGACTTATACCTTCTTTGAAAATGGATACCTTATCAAAAGAGTATAAATCTGTAACATTGACTCCACACTGTGAAAGCAACTATAATTATGTGTGGAGCATAATATTGAATTAAAAAAAATCATATGTAAATTAATTTAATTATATACGATATTATTCATTTTAAACCTATTAATTCAATAATTAGACGCCTAAATTCATTTTAATTTGAATTGCAAGATTTAATTGCCTGTTCGTAATTTTCTATGGCTTATTAGTAATTCTTGATATCTGTTAATAAATAACCTAAGACAATGAATAAATTGCAACCTTTATTACGATAAGCATTTGCATAATTTGGATTTAGTTGGATTGCTTAATCATAGCAATCAATTGCATTGTTGTATTTATTAATATTCTGTAAAGCAGTACCTTATATAATCAAGAAATTGCTTACCTTTATTATTATAAGCTATTGCATCATTTGGATTTAATTGGATTGCTTTATCATAGCAACGAATTGCATTGTTGTACTATTTAAGATTATCTAAAGCAGTACCTACAACAATCAAAAATTATAAACCTTTATTATGATAAGCATTTGCATAACTTGGATTTAGTTAGATTGCTTTATTGTAACAATCAAT